TCATCAATAAACACACCCAGGTGTTGTACAGGTGTTTTATTCATCAATAAACACACCCAGGTGTTGTACAGGTGTTGTACAGGTGTTTTATTCATCAATAAACACACCCAGGTGTTGTACAGGTGTTGTACAGGTGTTGTACAGGTGTTGTCCAAGTGTTGTACAGGTGTTGTCCAGGTGTTGTACAGGTGTTGTACAGGTGTTGTACAGGTGTTGTCCAGGTGTTGTCCAGGTGTTGTACAGGTGTTGTACAGGTGTTGTCCAGGTGTTGTCCAGGTGTTGTACAGGTGTTGTACAGGTGTTGTACAGGTGTTGTCCAGGTGTTGTCCAGGTGTTGTACAGGTGTTGTACAGGTGTTGTCCAGGTGTTGTACAGGTGTTTTATTCATCAATAAACACACCCAGGTGTTGTACAGGTGTTGTACAGGTGTTGTCCAGGCGTTGTCCAGGTGTTGTACAGGTGTTGTACAGGTGTTGTCCAGGTGTTGTCCAGGTGTTGTACAGGTGTTGTACAGGTGTTGTACAGGTGTTTGTACAGGTGTTGTCCAGGTGTTGTCCAGGTGTTGTACAGGTGTTGTACAGGTGTTGTCCAGGTGTTGTACAGGTGTTTTATTCATCAATAAACACACCCAGGTGTTGTACAGGTGTTGTCCAGGTGTTGTCCAGGTGTTGTACAGGTGTTTTATTCATCAATAAACACACCCAGGTGTTGTACAGGTGTTGTACAGGTGTTGTCCAGGTGTTGTCCAGGTGTTGTACAGGTGTTGTACAGGTGTTGTACAGGTGTTGTACAGGTGTTGTCCGGTGTTGTACAGGTGTTGTTACAGATGTTGTACAGGTGTTGTCCAGGTGTTGTACAGGTGTTGTCCAGGTGTTGTCCAGGTGTTTTTCACAGGTGTTGTACAGGTGTTGTACAGGTGTTGTACAGGTGTTGTCCAGGTGTTGTCCATGTGTTGTCCAGGTGTTGTCCAGGTGTTGTCCAGGTGTTGTACAGGTGTTGTCCAGGTGTTGTACAGGTGTTGTCCAGGTGTTGTACAGGGTGTTGTACAGGTGTTGTCCAGGTGTTGTACAGGTGTTGTACAGGTGTTGTCCAGGTGTTGTACAGGTGTTGTCCAGGTGTTGTACAGGTGTTGTCCAGGTGTTGTACAGGTGTTGTACAGGTGTTGTACAGATGTTGTACAGGTGTTGTCCAGGTGTTGTACAGGTGTTTTATTCATCAATAAACACACCCAGGTGTTGTACAGGTGTTTTATTCATCAATAAACACACCCAGGTGTTGTACAGGTGTTGTACAGGTGTTGTCCAGGTGTTGTACAGGTGTTTTATTCATCAATAAACACACCCAGGTGTTGTACAGGTGTTGTACAGGTGTTGTACAGGTGTTGTACAGGTGTTGTCCAGGTGTTGTACAGGTGTTGTCCAGGTGTTGTACAGGTGTTGTCCAGGTGTTGTACAGGTGTTGTCCAGGTGTTGTACAGGTGTTGTCCAGGTGTTGTACAGGTGTTTTATTCATCAATAAACACACCCAGGTGTTGTCCAGGTGTTGTACAGGTGTTGTACAGGTTTTTTTATTCATCAATAAACACCCAGGTGTTGTACAGGTGTTGTACAGGTGTTGTTTCCCGGTGTTGTACAGGTGTTGTACAGGTGTTGTAAGGTGTTGTACAGGTGTTGTCCAGGTGTTGTACAGGTGTTGTCCAGGTGTTGTACAGGTGTTTTATTCATCAATAAACACACCCAGGTGTTGTACATTTGTTGTACAGGTGTTGTCCAGGTGTTGTACAGGTGTTGTACAGGTGTTGTACAGGTGTTGTACAGGTGTTGTACAGGTGTTGTCCAGGTGTTGTACAGGTGTTGTCCAGGTGTTGTACAGGTGTTTTATTCATCAATAAACACACCCAGGTGTTGTACAGGTGTTGTACAGGTGTTGTCCAGGTGTTGTACAGGTGTTGTACAGGTGTTGTGCAGGTGTTTTATTCATCAATAAACACACCCAGGTGTTGTACAGGTGTTGTACAGGTGTTGTACAGGTGTTTTATTCATCAATAAACACACCCAGGTGTTGTACAGGTGTTGTACAGGTGTTTTATTCATCAATAAACACACCCAGGTGTTGTACAGGTGTTGTACAGGTGTTTTTATTCATCAAAAAACACACCCAGGTGTTGTACAGGTGTTGTACAGGTGTTTTATTCATCAATAAACACACCCAGGTGTTGTCCAGGTGTTGTACAGGTGTTGTCCAGGTGTTGTACAGGTGTTGTACAGGTGTTGTACAGGTGTTGTACAGGTGTTGTCCAGGTGTTGTACAGGTGTTGTCCAGGTGTTGTACAGGTGTTGTCCAGGTGTTGTACAGGTGTTTTATTCATCAATAAACACACCCAGGTGTTGTACAGGTGTTGTACAGGTGTTGTCCAGGTGTTGTACAGGTGTTGTACAGGTGTTTTATTCATCAATAAACACACCCAGGTGTTGTTTCAGGTGTTGTACAGGTGTTGTCCAGGTGTTGTACAGGTGTTGTACAGGTGTTTTATTCATCAATAAACACACCCAGGTGTTGTACGGGTGTTGTACAGGTGTTGTACAGGTGTTTTATTCATCAATAAACACCCAGGGTGTTGTACAGGTGTTGTACAGGTGTTTTATTCATCAATAAACACACCCAGGTGTTGTACAGGTGTTTTATCATCAATAAACACACCAGGTGTTGTACAGGTGTTGTACAGGTGTTTTATTCATCAATAAACACACCCAGGTGTTGTACAGGTGTTGTACAGGTGTTGTAAGGTGTTGTCCAAGTGTTGTACAGGTGTTGTCCAGGTGTTGTACAGGTGTTGTACAGGTGTTGTACAGGTGTTGTCCAGGTGTTGTCCAGGTGTTGTACAGGTGTTGTACAGGTGTTGTCCAGGTGTTGTCCAGGTGTTGTACAGGTGTTGTACAGGTGTTGTACAGGTGTTGTCCAGGTGTTGTCCAGGTGTTGTACAGGTGTTGTACAGGTGTTGTCCAGGTGTTGTACAGGTGTTTTATTCATCAATAAACACACCCAGGTGTTGTACAGGTGTTGTACAGGTGTTGTCCAGGCGTTGTCCAGGTGTTGTACAGGTGTTGTACAGGTGTTGTCCAGGTGTTGTCCAGGTGTTGTACAGGTGTTGTACAGGTGTTGTACAGGTGTTGTACAGGTGTTGTCCAGGTGTTGTCCAGGTGTTGTACAGGTGTTGTACAGGTGTTGTCCAGGTGTTGTACAGGTGTTTTATTCATCAATAAACACACCCAGGTGTTGTACAGGTGTTGTCCAGGTGTTGTCCAGGTGTTGTACAGGTGTTTTATTCATCAATAAACACACCCAGGTGTTGTACAGGTGTTGTACAGGTGTTGTCCAGGTGTTGTCCAGGTGTTGTACAGGTGTTGTACAGGTGTTGTACAGGTGTTGTACAGGTGTTGTCCAGGTGTTGTACAGGTGTTGTACAGATGTTGTACAGGTGTTGTCCAGGTGTTGTACAGGTGTTGTCCAGGTGTTGTCCAGGTGTTGTCCAGGTGTTGTACAGGTGTTGTACAGGTGTTGTACAGGTGTTGTCCAGGTGTTGTCCATGTGTTGTCCAGGTGTTGTCCAGGTGTTGTCCAGGTGTTGTACAGGTGTTGTCCAGGTGTTGTACAGGTGTTGTCCAGGTGTTGTACAGGTGTTGTACAGGTGTTGTCCAGGTGTTGTACAGGTGTTGTACAGGTGTTGTCCAGGTGTTGTACAGGTGTTGTCCAGGTGTTGTACAGGTGTTGTCCAGGTGTTGTACAGGTGTTGTACAGGTGTTGTACAGATGTTGTACAGGTGTTGTCCAGGTGTTGTACAGGTGTTTTATTCATCAATAAACACACCCAGGTGTTGTACAGGTGTTTTATTCATCAATAAACACACCCAGGTGTTGTACAGGTGTTGTACAGGTGTTGTCCAGGTGTTGTACAGGTGTTTTATTCATCAATAAACACACCCAGGTGTTGTACAGGTGTTGTACAGGTGTTGTACAGGTGTTGTCCAGGTGTTGTACAGGTGTTGTCCAGGTGTTGTACAGGTGTTGTCCAGGTGTTGTACAAAGGGGTTGTCCAGGTGTTGTACAGGTGTTGTCCAGGTGTTGTACAGGTGTTTTATTCATCAATAAACACACCCAGGTGTTGTCCAGGTGTTGTACAGGTGTTGTACAGGTGTTTTATTCATCAATAAACACACCCAGGTGTTGTACAGGTGTTGTACAGGTGTTGTCCAGGTGTTGTACAGGTGTTGTACAGGTGTTGTACAGGTGTTGTACAGGTGTTGTCCAGGTGTTGTACAGGTGTTGTCCAGGTGTTGTACAGGTGTTTTATTCATCAATAAACACACCCAGGTGTTGTACATTTGTTGTACAGGTGTTGTCCAGGTGTTGTACAGGTGTTGTACAGGTGTTGTACAGGTGTTGTACAGGTGTTGTACAGGTGTTGTCCAGGTGTTGTACAGGTGTTGTCCAGGTGTTGTACAGGTGTTTTATTCATCAATAAACACACCCAGGTGTTGTACAGGTGTTGTACAGGTGTTGTCCAGGTGTTGTACAGGTGTTGTACAGGTGTTGTGCAGGTGTTTTATTCATCAATAAACACACCCAGGTGTTGTACAGGTGTTGTACAGGTGTTGTACAGGTGTTTTATTCATCAATAAACACACCCAGGTGTTGTACAGGTGTTGTACAGGTGTTTTATTCATCAATAAACACACCCAGGTGTTGTACAGGTGTTGTACAGGTGTTTTATTCATCAATAAACACACCCAGGTGTTGTACAGGTGTTGTACAGGTGTTTTATTCATCAATAAACACACCCAGGTGTTGTCCAGGTGTTGTACAGGTGTTGTACAGTTGTTGTCCAGGTGTTGTACAGGTGTACCTTTAACACAGATTCCACTCAGATATTATAACCCTGGGATATAGTGTTGTTGGTAAAGAGAGCAGTGAGAGGAAGTTAGCAATGTGAATGTGACCTGACCTGATTAGGTTGGGCCATTGACTTAAGCCGGTAGGAGACGTGAACCTGCCTCTCATGGACCAGTAGGCCTTCTGCAGTGTTCTTTCTTGATGTTCTTATGACAGGAAAATACAGGGTTATCAGGCACCTAAGTTCCTCATTCTTGTAACGATGCTGACTTGTACCCTATATTGTAATTATGTACCTTGTACATAATTACTATATAGGTAATTATGTACCTTGTGTGATAGTAATTATGTACCTAGTACATAAATACTATATAGGTAATTATGTACCTTGTGTCATTGTAATTATGTACCTTTTGTGCTTTAATTAAAATAAAAGGAAATTTATGAAACCTTTGTATGATATTTAATTTTGTCCCTGGTACAAAATTACCCCCAAGGAAATTTATTTTACCTTGTGTGTAGTAATTATGTACCTGGTTCTTTAATTTTACTATAAAATTTAATTTGTACCTTTTGTGTATTTAATTTTTTAAGGGGACAAAAATTAAATATATAAAAAAATTTTGTACCTTGTTGATAGAAATTATGTACCTGGTTTTTAACTCCTATATAGGAAATTATTTTTTTTTGGGACAAAATTACTTCTTTTTTTTAAAAGGGTAAAATCTGGGATTTTAATTCTAGTCACCCAATTTATTTTATATATTTTATATTTTATAAAAATTTTTTTATATATATTATATATATATATATATTATTATATATTTTATATTATATATTATATTATATTGAATGAAAAGTGGGAAAAATTTTTAGAGGGGTGTGGTGGGTTTAAGTTTGGGGTTTGCCAGGTGAAAAAGCTAATGGGACCCCCCTTTGATTGAACTTTGTTTTGGAAAAAGGGGTTTTTTGGGTTAAAAAGGTAATACATTTTTTAAAGGGGAAAAAGGGATAAATAAGTATAAAGATTGATGTAGGGGAAATACAGTGTTTTTTTGGGATTATGTATTGGTAGATAAAAACTGTTGGTAGACTTCAGGTGTAATGTTTTTTAGGGGGCCAAGATATACCCACCCCCTTTTTTGGGTTTTTGCTACCCCCTGAGGGGAAAAAGGTTTAGTGGGATCCAAGGAAAATAGCGGGGCTTTTAAAGGGGAAAAAAGAGGGGTTGGGGGTTTAAAAAAACCCTAAAAAGGGGGGCCCGTTAGGGTAAGATATAAACGCTTTGGGGTTTGATGGGCTAATGAGGGGAATGGGCAATGGGGTCGAAGGGGTATGGGGTGGGTTTTTAAAATATGTGTGTTGGTTTTCCCCGCAAAAGTTTTTTGGTTTACAGGAAAGTGGGTCCCGGGGGGGAAGGGGGAGCGTTTTGGTGGAATGTGATGTAAAGAGGGGGTAGAAAGGGAGAAAAGTTAGCATATGAGAAGTTTTTCCAAAGTAAAGGATGAAGGACGGGGGAGTTTGGGAAAAAGAGAGGGGTTTAAAAGAGAGTGGTGAACCCCTTTGTAAAAAAGAGGCAAATGGGGCCCCAGGGGTGGATTTTATAAAACAAATTTTGTGGAAAATAAGAAAATTTTTGGGGAGGAGAAAAACAAGTTAAAAGAAACCCGAGAAACAAATGGTTTTGTCAGTTAAAAATAGGGGAGGGAGTTTTAAATGGGATTTAGAGGTATTGGGAAGATGGAAGGAATTTTTTGAGGAATTTTTAAAATTTTGTTTAAAGATGGGGGAAGCTGTGATTTCTTTGTTGGGGCCCAAGGAAGGAAAACATTTGTAGGATTTGGGGGAAGGGCCAGTTGTGGTGTGGGGGAAATTTTCGGGAGGCAGTAGGTAAAATGAAAGGGGGGTTGGGTTAAGGCAGCGGGAATTGAGGGGGAAAAGATAGAAATTTTTTAAAAAGCAGGGGGGGGATATGGGTTTTGGAGTGGGTTGGTGAAATTTTTTAATAAAGTAGGAAGGGAAAGGTCCCTGGGGGTTGGCAGAGAGCTGCATAGTTCCTTTGTAAAAAGGCAAAGGGGATAAAAGGGAGTGAAAAAAATTATAGGGGGAAAAAGCCCTGTTGATTTGTCCCTGGAAAATTGTTTTGGTGGGTTTTAAAATTTTAAAAAGAAATTAAGGAAGAGGAGAATAGGATAGCAGAGGGAAACCAAGGAGGCTTTAAAAAAGGTGGGGGGTTTGGGGGGACCGGGGGGGTTGTTTACAGGGAAACTAAAAGTGAACAGTTTTTTGAAAAGGGCTAAGAGGTCTTTTTTGGAAATTTTATGGTTTTGGGGAAAAAGGCGTATGCCCGGGGGGGTGGGGGGGGGAAATTTGTGGAGATGTTCCCAAGTGTTTGGTGAGGAGGTAGGTTACTAAAAGCGTAAAAGGTTTTTTTCCGAGGATTTTGAGGCTCAAGTTAGGTATGTGGGAAAGGGGGGAAAAAATTTTTTCCCCATTTAAAATTTGGGCCTTAGAAAAAGGATGTGTGATGTCCCCGGTGGTTTTTTTAATTTTTTTTAAAGTTGGGGTTGAAACGGAAGTAAATGCGGGGTTTTGGGGCAAGGGGGCCGGGGGGTTAAAAGATAAAAAATCACACACAAAGGGGGGAGTTGTCACAGCTGTTTTTTTTGCTGTGACCACTGTGTCTTGGGGTTCTAAAGAGAATTGAAGAGTTTGGGTGGAGGGAATTGGAAAGGGTGTGAAAAAAAGAAATTTTAAAGGTGAATCGGGGAAAGGTAAGGTTATGAGGAAAAACCAAAAAGATTGGGGAAAGGGAAGGGATTGCTATCAGATTGGAGGGAGGGTATGGAGGGGGTGAAGTTTAGATTTTGGGAGTGACGTGTCAGCGGTTGGGTTTTATGAAAGATAAAGGGTAAATCATAGTTTTGAGGGAGGGAAAAAAAGGTGAGTGGTGCACTTAGGAGTTGTGGAGAAAAAGAACTTTGCCCTTGGGGGAAAAGGGGGAAATGAATGAGATTTATAGTTTTACCAACGCTTTTATTGGGTTTTAAAAACCCCGGGGGTTTGATGAATGTTGCAGCGGGAAAAGGGGGAAAGGCGTGGAATGTCTTCTTGAGGGCAATGTGTGGTGTGAAATAATCCCAGGGTTTTCCCCCCCTTTTTTTGGAAAGTTAGGGGAGGTGGGGGGGTTTTCCAAAAAACTGTTTTTCCAGGGGTTGGGAAGGGTTGTTGGGGGTGGTTCGGCATTTTGAGAAAAAATTGGAGCAAAACCCCGAAGACTTCAAGAGTGAAACCCGTCTGGGGGGAAAGGAAGGCGGGGAAAGGGGTCGGCCTGGGAAAGGGGTTTGGGAGGGAGGGGGAAAAAAGGGGGTTTTTTGGTGCGGGGGCTTGGTTCCACCCAGGCATGCTTGAGGTTTTTGATAGGGGGTGAATGGAGACAAAGGGTTTTTTTAAAAACGGGGGACGTGGGGGTTGAGTGTGAGAAAAAGGTAACATTTATGAAGGGTTTCCCGGGAAACCGGCACCCCCGGATTTGGGGTTCCTGGAGATGGGAATTACGTCCCTGCACTTAAAAGGGGGGGGTTTTGTTAATTTTGCATTTTAAAAAAAATGTAGTGAAAAGCACCCTTCTGGCAAGCCCAGTGTTGGAGTAAAGGAGGGTGAAGTTTTTTTTTTTGGGGGCCACCCTCCCTTTGGGGTGGGAATGGGCCCGGGTTGTAAAAATTAAAAAAAAAAAAAAATATTATATATATTATATTATAAAATATAATAAAAATTTTTTAAAATATTGCAAAAAAACCCAAAATGTGGGAATAGAGAAGTTCCAAGCGCTTTCGTGACTACTTACATTATCAAGGAAAAAATAAAAAGCACCCAAAGAAAGGTATAAAAAGGGGTGGGCCCCCCCCCTCACTACCCGCCCCAAAACCCCCCTGACGTGAGACAACGGGCCCCCCGGGGCCCAAAATTTTTTCGTTTCTTTTTTTAAAAAAAAGCAGTTTTGACAATAATATGAATTTTTCCTTTGGTTTTTTTAAAAAGATCCTTTTTTTAAATTTTTAGAATTTGGGGAAAAAAATTTAAATTTACCCCTGGACAAATAATAATTTTTTTTAAATTTTTATTTCTTTGGGGGGGAATAGTTTGTTGGTGGGTTGTGGGGAAGGGGCCCGTCTTTGTTGGGCCCGGGGGCCTGTTGTCTGGTCAGGTTTTTTCTTTGTTGTGGGATTTTTTAGTGAGGTGTGGGCTACCCCCCTTTTATACCCTTCCCTTTTATACCCTTTTATTGTTTCCCTTTATAAAAAAAGTGTCACGAAAACGCTTGGAAATTTTCTATTCTTTCACAGTGGGTTGTTTTGCTTTTTTATTATATATAATTTATATAATATATATAATTTTAAAAATTTTTATTAATATATATATATATATATATATTTATATCCCCCTGCGATAGCCCAAAGGGGTCGAACCCCCCCTCATGGTTTCACAAAAATGGGGGAAAAAAATGAAAATTTCGTCAGAGGCCCCCAACAATGTAAGTTTGGTCAAGGGTGACACACCTAGCGTGGCTGGGTGCTTGGTTCTTGTAGGATTGCGTGGTTCTGTGGGGTAGGGGATCATGGGTTTTCGCTCACCATGAGGAGGGCCAAAGCAGCATGGGTTCGAATCCTTGGCGAGGTGGCAGAGTGGGCGCCTGTGACGAGCGGGGTCCCACAGGGGTCAGTCCTAGGACCAGTGCTGTTTCTGGTATTTGTGAACGACATGACGGAAGGAATAGACTCTGAGGTGTCCCTGTTTGCAGATGACGTGAAGTTGATGAGAAGAATTCACTCGATCGAAGACCAGGCAGAACTACAAAGGGATCTGGACAGGCTGCAGACCTGGTCCAGCAATTGGCTCCTGGAGTTCAATCCCACCAAGTGCAAAGTCATGAAGATTGGGGAAGGGCAAAGAAGACCGCAGACGGAGTACAGTCTAGGGGGCCAGAGACTACAAACATCACTCAAGGAAAAAGATCTTGGGGTGAGTATAACACCAGGCACATCTGAAGCGCACATCAACCAAATAACTGCTGCAGCATATGGGCGCCTAGCACACCTCAGAACAGCATTCCGACATCTTAATAAGGAATCATTCAGGACCCTGTACACCGTGTACGTTAGGCCCATATTGGAGTATGCGGCACCAGTTTGGAACCCACACCTAG